GGCTGCAGTTAGAGTACTGCATCCGGTTCTGGGCACCACACTTCAAGAGGGATGTGGCTAACCTTGAGAGGGTCCAGAGAAGGGCCACTCGCATGGTCAGGGGGCAGCAGGCCAAGCCCTACAAAGATAGACTAAAGGCCTCCACAAGAGAAGACTGAGGGGATCTGGTGGCCATCTATAAACTTACCAGCGGAAAATAGGTGAGGCTCTGTTCCCCTGGGCACCACCTGGGATAACAAGGAGTAACAGCCACAAATTGATTGACAGCAGGTTCAGGCTTGATATCAGGAGGCGTTACTTTATGGTTAGGGCTGCCAGGCTCTGGAAAGGGCTCTCAAGGGAGGTGGTGCTCTCCCCTACCTTGGGGGTCTTCAAGAGGAGGATGGATAGATATCTGGCTGGGGTATTATGATCCCAGCACTCGTTCCTACCCAGGGCAGGGGGTCGGACTTGATGATCTGTTCAGGTCCCTTCTGACCCTAGAAACGATGAAAGTATGAAATGTGTAGAACGTAGATAGGATAGATATATTTTTTAATGTATATAAGCATATTTTAAATATTTAAACATTTGTAATTTATATTTCAATTTTATATTGTATTGTATTTATATGTATATTTTTATATTGTATTTTCATAATGTTATTTTTTAATGTTATATAATGGGTGGGTGCGTTTGTTTTTTTAAGGCACAGGCTCTTTTATATATATATATATATATATATATATATTGTGATTTATATTCCCTATTTTTTAAAGAGATATTTATTTTCTTAAAGGCATTTATTTATTTAAGAGCTATTTATTTTGTTATATACTGCATTTTAATTTTTTAAAATTGATAACCATGCATAAAACAAGTTAAAGTAAAAAAATTACATAAAGATGTGGCATGTTTTTGTTCATAGAATGGCATGGGGGTTCATCTGGTTTCTGGGTATGGGGGGGTGCACGTGGCTTGGCATGGGGATCCCTTTCAACCACAGGCTGGCCTGCCCCCCCCCCCCCCCCCACCTCAGTGAAGAGAGTTGGGAGCATCTGGCAGGGGTTGGGGGTCTGCAAGGTACAGGGTGCCTATATGGGCAGGTGGGAGAAGGTGTGTGGTGTGAGCATAGGGCAAAGCATGTGGCAGGACAGAGAGGGGCTGTGTGGTGCAGGGATGGGGGATACATGGTTTGAGGGTGCAGTAGAGGGGGGCTGCATGGTGCAGGGAAGGCAGGTGCATGGTCTAAGGGTACAGGATGTGAAGAAATGACTGGGTCTGGGCTGGGGCAATGGCTGTAGGCATAGGCAGGGGTAGATCAGGGGTACAGCACACCTGGTGGGTCCCCTGCAGCAAGCTGATAGTGTTTGCCCCCAGTGGTCCAGCACTTGCCCCTGCGGCCCAGGGATTACTGGTTTGACAGTGCCCCCGGCATAATCGAGTAGCTAAAACAGCAGCAGGGTACATTGGTATGTCGCTCCCCCTGCTGGAATTTAGTGGGAATTGTGTACTGGGATTAATTCATTTTAAAAGCTATCACAGGGGTCTGCAACCCCCGGCACGTGTGCCAAGCATGGCACATGAGGCCATTTTGCTTGGCACGCCATGACCAGCCACGGCTCTCAGTAGCTGCTGCCAGCGATGGAGCCCAAGCTGCTCCCAGCAGGGCTTGCAGCTGAGCCGTGAGAGAAACATGGCCCCCCACTTGGCGGCAGCTACCCAGAGCCCGGGCCAGCTGCAGCTGGGAGGCTCCAAACAGCTGTGCCAGGCTCCGGGTTCTGGGCAGCTGCAGCAAGCAGTGCACCCAGGCTCCAGCAGCTACCCAGAGCCAGGTTAGCTGCTGACAGCCACAGGGCCTGGGCTGGAGGGCAGGGGCAGTAGGGCTGGGGGGTAGGGGCTTCGGGTGGGGAGCAAGGGGCACAAGCAGGGCAACCTGCCATGTACCCCTTGCCATTGTTTTGTTTTTCTGCCATGCCACCACTCCAGCACTTTCCAAGGTAGGCATTGTGGTGTTTTTCGGCACTCCAGCCAAAAAACATTGCCTACCCCTGAGCTATTACATTGTTGGTGCAGTATGGGATAGGGCCACGGCAGCCCTGCACCCTCTGAGACTGGGCTGTGGGGAAATAGACTCACCCAGTCTCAAACCTCAGCAAAGTCACCCGATTCTTTCCTGCCCTGTCTTGATTTTGAGGAGTTCCTTGTTTGGAAGTATACCACTCTCCTGCTGGTTGTCCCAGATGCTCTGGGCCTGATTCTTCTTTGGGGCTCCTGACTCCCCTACACCCAATCCAAGCACCACCCAGTTGTTAAGGTGTCAATCATGCCCTCGGCTCTTAATGGGCAATCTCCTTCTCCCTCTTTGATCTTAGAGGCCCGTGGTTGTCTCATGCCTAACTAGAGAATATAGCTGTATAACAGGGTGCCATCCCCAGCAGCATTTGGAAACACCTGGGGGCATTCCCGAGTCTCCTTATGTTTGACTTTTCTGCTGGGAGCAGACTCCCCTTCACTCGCCTGCCACCTTTTGGTGTTCCTTTGGTCCTCAAGGAGGAAGCTGCCCCAGGGCTTCCCAGGTATGATCTATGCTCACATACACCTGGCGGTGAAGAGATTCTGCCTTAAGGGCTAATTGCACACTCCAATCTCCCCTTTATTGTGCCCCATGCCTTGCAGGTATTGTCTGTGATGATGTCCCTTTGTTGGGGCCTTACCTCCTAGGCCTCTGCCCCTTCACTCTAGCTAGACCTACCAGCCTAGGGTCACTGGATAAGATCCAGTTTAGAGGTCCTAGCTTCACTCAATCTGTTCTGAGCCTGGGCCCAATCCAGCTGTGCTCGTTATGGTGCCAGGCTCTCTGGCCCTCTATAGCTGAGCCCTGTGGCACCGGGCTTTCTGGCCTCTGTAGCTGTGCCCTGTAGGCAATAATGAGGCCTCCATCTCCCCTACAGCCTCAGCCACAAACCGCTGGATTAAACTCAAACATAAACAGTAAACCCATGGGTTATAACAAAGGAAAGTTAACAAAGGCAGTTAGCCTGCTCACTTTTTTCTCTGAGTCCCACCATCTGCTGCTCTCTGTCTCTTGTAAGGCTACTGCAACTCTGCTTGGAGTCCTCAGGAGTTCACCCTCTCTGCAACCAGGGCTCTCTGGCTAGCTCAGACCAGGGCTTATATAGTTCTGGCCTGAGCCCTCTCCCAGTCACCTGACAGCCCCCATGCTTGGCTTTTAACCCTTGCTCTGCTGCAGGCTGTGCCCAGAAGGTTCTCATCTTAATGGGGCCACTCTGCTTTCTAGTAACAGGGCTGGGTCTCCTATTACAAGCTGTTACACTGGCCTGCGAGTTGTTTTGTTGAGGCTTGGAAAAATGGAATCAAACTAAAGAATAACACAAAACAAAAAAAGGTACTGAAACTCCGGTAAGTCCGGCAGCCTTAGGGCCAGTGTGGCCACTGGCTGTGGCTTCCAACAATGAAATAAGACAGTCCAGAGGGCTGTAGATAATTCCCCATGGCCCAGCTTTCTAGAATACAAGGAACTCAAAAGGGAACAAAAGATTATCCAGCTAGCTTCACCTACAAACTTGGGCATTTACTTCAGCCTTGGACACTTTGGTGTCCGCCCTCTTTTTTTCTGTTTTGTAACTTCACCCTGGTAGTAGATCTGGCTCAGAATACATCCCACTTTAAGTTTGTTAAAATGTGTTGCAGGGCATTTGTACGACATTTTTTTCAAACCCTGTACTGGGCAGTGCACTGTCATCTACTTGAGCATGATCACAATAAATATGAAAACAAATAACTAATCAATCAAAGGGTCATGTATCACAAGAAACTGAGTACGTGAATTGGCAATGTTGGCTGAAAGGAAAAAGAATAAGGTGTCATGGATAAATGGGTATAACTCCCTCTAACCTGAGCCCGGTGTCTATGGCAATCCATTGTATTTATAAATCTCAGAGACAGAGAATTTCAAAGAATGATGCTAAAAAACAAGCATTAAAAACCACAAAGAAAAAAGGCATTTCATGGTGTCTTTTACTACTTGGGACTGATTCATTTTAGTATTTGTGTCTTAGTCTTTAATCTTTGCTTCCTCATATATCACTGACCTGACTGAGTCCCCATTCTTGTTGATGCAGCATATGGGAACAGGTTCTATCATCTTTAGTTCCCAACACTACAAAACGTCCTATAAATTCAGCAAAAAAAGTGCCAGATTGGTACAGCATAACCAGCTGGTGAAGACTTGTTGCGTATTAAGCTATGCTTTTACTTTCCTTGTTGACAAGGACTACTAGAAGTTTAACTTTCATAAATAATTTTATTTTTGCAGACTTAAAGTATCTTTCTAAAGCTCTATGATGTTAGCAGTGGCTTTTCTCTTTAAAACTCTAACGTGTAAATAGGGACCAGTTAGAAAATAGTCTTTAATTTCCACAGGATTAAGTGTCATTCTTTACCTAAGTGGTTCCCCTTCAGGAAATTAAGACATCTACAAAGTTGATTGATGGAATTTCCACTTAGGAAGATAATGGGACACCAGAATTGCACCCAACAAAAGAGGTAGTAGAGCTGTCTCACACATCTCAAGATATGTGCAAGAGGCTCTAAATATCCACATTGCATCCTGCCTCACCCTAGAGCTTGATTTACTACTATGAGTAGAGCTGTAATTAAGTGAAGAGGGAGGCCTAATTTAGACCTTAATCTTTTATGTATCCAACCTCCCTTGTGCCAGAGAGGTTAAGTTTTTGACCCAGATGAAGGGTCATACCTAAGCTCAGTTACCTATACAGCCTCAGGAAATTTGAAATATGCAAATAAAGACAAAATTTGCCCTTTGGAACCTTAAGTGCTGGTGAAGATGCAAGACAAGGAGAAAAAACAGATTAATTCTCAAGTCCTGGGCTAAAACTCTAGGACTGGGAGTTAGAAAAGCTAGTGTTATATAGTGAGTCCATTTGTTATGTAGTTCCCCCAGGACTTTCACACTGGCTGTTGAAGACAGTACTCACCAAGCTGAGGAATTTCTGATCTCCCAGTCTTTACCACCAACTGGAATATCAGGAAGATCTGCTAACACTCTTCTGTCTTCTACCAGCCACTCAAAAACAAGAACGGAGAAGAGGAAGATATTATCTCACTCTCTCAGAGTAAAAAAACAGTAAAGATTTTATGTAAAGTGTCTCCCTGAACATTTTTTATCCAAATGGCTGGATAATTTAAATTGTAATAGTAATCCAGGGTCTATGAGAGAAACAAAATTGTTTGGTGATATCTTTTATTTGAACATCACCACAATCAACACACCTCACAAAAAACCTATCAGAATCCATGGATCCTACACATCTAACACAAAATGTGATATACCTTACTGATGCTCCAAATGACCTCATGGAGATTATGTTAGTGAAACAAAACAGCCACTGTGTGTCAGAATGAAATCTCAAAGGAAAATGATGGAGGACAGACAGCTAATTACCAATGGGAGAACACTTTTCATATAACATCGCTTCATCTCTGACCTCACAGTCCTTGTACTCAAGGGAAACTTACACAATACCTTCATAAGATGGGTCTGGGAACAAAAAATCATAACTTTACGAGACACTGGGGGCCTCTATATATTCGTTAATGCATTTTAAGTAACACACATTAAATCTAGTACCTCCTTTGTGAGGTACTAGAAAAATGTGCATTAGCCTATTTTAATATGTATTGCCTAAACAGTATGGGTTTTTTGTGATGCTTTAATGCACATTAAAATAGGCTAATGTGCATTAAAGTGCACCTGTAGATGCACCCACTAAAAACAATGAACTTAGCATAGACAGTGATTTTACAACTTATTACAATTTACCTGCTCCCTCTGCTAACCCCTTTATACTTCACAGGTATAAAGACCTTTTCCCTTTTGAAAGGTTTTATTCTGTTATATAATTAGGTATACCTTTTTCAACTGCTCTTTACTTGATCTGTACCTACTTCTGATAACTTTGCTTCACAGGTTTACTGCCCTTTTTCCATTTTGTAAATGACCATTTCCATTTATAAAATGGAGTTAGAAGTAATTGTTCTAGCTGGAATGTAACATAGGCTGTGTCTGCTTCTTCCCCAGACCTGAGGAAGGGCATTTTGTACCTAAAAGTTTGTTTAATCTCTCTCTCAAATACTGGGTTTAATAAAAGATATTACCAAGCTAAACTTGCTTCTTGGATATTTTCTGGAAAAGAACATTTTCTTTTCATTTATCTTACATTAGTGTAGATTCATTAGTTTTGGTTAAGTTTACATTATGACATTTATGGAAATGAGAAAAGAAACATAATGAATGTGTACTTTGGGCATACACACACACACATTTGCTTGCTTAGCTGTGGGTCTGCTGCCTTTTTTAATAGGTTTCTTCCCCGACCCCTTTTCATGTCTCCTGTCTGGCCAAGTGCCCAAGATGATACAGCAGGGCAGCTCTGTGCCGTGGACAGCTTCTGTGCACAGGGTGGTGCTGCCTGCTGGAGCACCAATTGTGGTGGCACATCCAGCCACCACTGCGGTGCCTGCTATTTTTGTGCTACCCCCACAAATGCAGTGCCTGGGGCTGCTGCCCCCTTCCTTCAGGTACAGTACTGTGATACAATACCACATCACAATATAACTTCAGGACCTGCAATCAGAGCCACCAAAATTAATGAGCACCCTCTTTTTCTTTGATCTGCTTTTAACTCCTGTGTGACCAGACAAAATGGTTCAGGGTCACAGTAAGAACAATTTAGCTAACCTGTATTGCTAGAAGATCATGCAGACATAACTATTTGATTGTAGCAGCTGATGTGTGCTGCTGAGCAGCAGTTCCCTCTACCCTTTCCAAGTATCTGAAAAGTATGTTTGTCCATAACCAAGGAGAAAATCTACTTCCCTGGGAAGTTTGTTCTAACAGCCAATCCTAATTAGAAATATGTAACTCATTTCTATTTTGAATTAGTCTTGTGTAAGCTTCCAGGCACAAGTTCTTGTTCTCCCTTTATCTGTTAAATTAAAGAGCTTCTTCTTCCAGTGAAAGTATAGCATGCTGTGACCAAGTCAACTCCCAGTTTTCTTTTGGCAAATTGGTAAGCTTTTTGGTAAGATACAGCTATCCATTTCTCCCACTTTGGGAGTGTATTCCAGTATTGGTCTCACAAATGCTCTTTACAAGGGTTAAATCTATTTCCCAA